AGAGAGAGAGAGAGAGAGAGAGAGAGAGAGAGAGAGAGAGAGAGAGAGAGAGAGAGAGAGTCGCAATGAGCTAGCGAACCGTGTGACCGGCTGCACACCATCCTGAGTTCGTGTTTTTTCTTGAATGAACACAACCGGGAAGTTCGGGAACAGGGCCAGATACGTCACGAAGGAGAGCTTGAGAGGAACGGTGCGGCGCTCGCGCTTAAGGTCGAAGGGCAGCGTGAGCAGCCGTTGCGAGGGCATGATGGCAAGATGCATCGAGGGCATGATGGAAAGATGCATCCCCCTCATGAGGGCATATAGTGCAGGGCCCGGTAAAACGAGACCGGCTGTCCAGTAAGGGCACCGTGGAAAGTTGCCCCCCTTGCTGACAGGGGCACGACTGGGTAAGTTGGCCGTCGGAGGGGCACACCGCAAGTAAATTGAATTTTCAAGGGGATATCGAAAATTTCCCCCTTTTTTTTAACTAAGCCAGATGAGGTATATTCATATCGAATGATATAGAGCAATGCATCCATAGCTGTTGGTTGGTTGGTCTATAGAGCTAGTAGCTATATTGGTCAACGGATCGGTACCCTATACATAGATCAGCAGTAGTTATGGATCCATAGCTATAGCTATAGCTATATATGAGCAGCTGTGGTTTCATAGCTATTAGCTATTCATCTGACTTGACGAACCCTACGCATCCAGAGCTTTAGGGAAAGCAAAAAATGGTACACACCCCTAACTGTTTAGTCAAAGCAGATTGTGAGTTCGAATCCCGAAATCAGAGGTATGCACTCATCGTGACCATGACTCATGATACTGATTGTATATAGCATTGTATATAGCAGTCTCCTGCTCCCCCTTGAAGAAAAAAGGAGAAAAAAGAAGTTTTAAACCACTTGTACATCTTCCAATTTTTCGTCTCCTGTTCTGATTTCCTGTCCTGCTCTGTTCTCTCTCTCTGTTGGTGCACAGGTAAAGCGCTGGAAGACTCGGATTGGATGTCTTGGTGGGTGTTTCTTGTTTGCATGTCACTGCAATTTGTCACTCTCTGAAACCTCCTCCTCCTCCTCGAGGGTGCCGTTGCGACATCTATCCAATCAATCAATCAATCAATCAATCAGAAGAGGGTGTTTGTTGTCTACCCGCGTGACTTTCCGGAGGAGAACTGCTAGCCTGAGGAGAACTGCTAGCCTGAGGAGAACTGCCAGCCTGAGGAGAACTGCCAGCCTGGCTGCCTGCAAAGATGACTGGTGCAGCGTACACTTCCAGGCTTTTCGTGACTCTGAAGCGCGGTCTCCCTGGGAAACGGCATGACCACAGGAGAGTGGTGAAAGCTCTCGGCTTGCGCAAGGTGAATCACACAGTAGAGAGAAACAATTCTCCTACCATTCGGGGAATGATTGACAAGGTCAAGTATATGCTGTCGGTTGAGACAAAGGAGATGAGGACCAAAAGACTAGAGAGTGAGGCCATCGCAAAAGCACCCAGAGAACCTGTCATCGTCAGCCATCACCCCTCGTCTCCTTCGCCAACTTCCTCTCCTTTGAGTCAAGAAGTCTGAGTGCGCTTGTAGCCCTCACCAAAGCTCCCAAGGAACCAACCTGTCATCGTCAACCACCTCACCTCTTGTCTTCCTCGTCTTTGTGCTCTCCTTCCAACCAAGGAGCCCGAGTGCATTTGTAGAGTGCACTACTTTCTCTCATAGACTCTCTGCTACCTTCTCTCTTCCTTCCCCTGTCCCCGAACTACATCACCTTGCTGCTCTTTTCTGTGTACAGGAGATGATGATATGTCAAAGACAGGGAATAGTTGATGGGCCACACTGGCAGGAGTTTCGTCGTTTTCCATGATCGTTGCTACTTCAATTGCAATTTGTAAATTGTACGGATGTGTTTGCTTTTTAGCGAGGAAGTGACAAGGGTTTGGACATGAATCTTCTGTTAGTCTCTTTTTCTGTGTCTTCAATGTTCTCCTCTTCTTTTGTTCTTTAAACTTCTTTTCTTTTACGTCCCCTTAACGTTTTCAAGCAAGCTTTCCTTCTTAAATCCCCGGCTAGACTTGGTCCTCTACTCTTCTCTCTCCTCTTTGTTGTTTTTTTTTGTCCCCCCCCCCTCCCCTCTCTCTTCGTATCATCTTTTCACACCCTTCACCGTGTGTGGACTTGTCTGCTTGACGGTACAAAAGCTCAGATTCCGTGATCCGGCGATGGAGAGGGACTAAATAGCTTGCAATTGGAGGGAACTGCAGAATGGAAGTGCTCTAAGACTTGTTGTTCTGTGCTTTCCCTCTCATTTAGATCCGGCTCGACAGTGAGTGAAATTCCGGCCTTTTGGCTATAAGAGCAAGTGTAGTATCTGTTCTGATCAGTTTAATTAATACCTATTCCATGGTCCATGGGGCCACATTATTAACAACAAAAAAAAAAAAGACGGATGGGAATGAGTGCAAAACGAGCAACACGCTAAACTAGGCCAGTTCCTTGACCCCCTCTTGTGCATGGCGTTGACCTTCAAGACAAACATCTGCCTGCCTGCCTGCCTCTTTGCGGTAGGAGACGGAATACAGCGATTGGGTTCATATAACAAGAACATCAGAGCGCAGGTGACAGCCTCAGTGGCTGTAGGAGTTCCACCAAGGTTGAGACCTGGGACGGGGGTGTCGCCTTTCTATTGGTGGGGAGCAGCACCTGCTGGAAACCCATTGCAGCATCCCTTTGACACAGTTCTTCTCATGACTGAAAAGCACAGTCCTCCCAAGACAAAGCAATTCGCCCATCCCCCGGCAGTGCCCAACTGGGCATTATCGCTGGGAGGGCATGGCGCCCTTGTCTGTTCACTGCCAGCTTCATACCTGTCCCCTTCTCCTGTCTCAGGGTATATCCTTCTCTGGGCTGGCCATCTGTTATTCCCATTGTGACTCACATTGCGCTCCATCTGAACGCCCTTGTTGTTGCTGGCTGCTCATATCCGTAGTCTCCACTGTCCTGCGTTTTTCTGCAGTAGCTGTACGCATTGCCGAGTCATCACCAGATGGGGAGGGTGTCGCTGGTGGAAGACGGACTGGCCTTGGAAGTATATGAATTCCTATAATGCTCACTGTTGCAGTTAGAATTGTGAGATTCCAACTTGGCGAGTTGCTGTTTGATATGTGCAGGCATCTCGTCCAAGGTGCCGAAAGGCTGCTGATCTGTCTGACAGGTGCAGGCATTCTTTGGGTGGAACTAGACGGTAGCCGATTGTGTGGATGACAACACTCATTGTTGCCATAGGGAGTCTGGTATTTATGCAGTTGCTACACTGAAAATGACACCTCTCAATGGTGCAAGGTTGATTACAGTGTGAGTTGTTACTGCACTGCATATGTAGCTGAGATCATGGCTCAATGTTTTTCTTGTCAACACAGAAGCACCTCCTGCAACACTGCCCTAACCTGGGAAAGGGTTCTCACTTTCTACCCCTGAAATATGTGTGTGCATGTGCGTGTGTGTGTGTGTGTGTGTGTGTGTGTGTGTGTGTGTGTGTGTGTGTGTGTGTGTG